GTTTTTTTTCCATACTATGGAAGTCAATGGAGACCAGCAGCTGAAGGTGAACCATCCCTTTAACTGGTCAAAATTGCTTTTATATGTATAGTAGGTGATAGGCCAGTCTCTGAAGGCAGATTGTGTTTGACTTTTTATCTTCAAGCGTATATTCATTCTGTGGTCAAAAATAAATGGTTAAAAGTTTGCATTAATGAACTTTGATTTACACAGTGTTCTACAGAATTTAGTATTTATGTTTCAAATGAAATAAAGCACCTTGGTTTTTGGATTGGAATGTAATACTTGGTTTAGTTTGTTAAAATTACATAATTTACTTATTTTTATTGATTTATTTAATTTATTCAGTTAAAATGCAATTCATACATACAGTGACTTGAAATGTACCTGGCAATGTTTTTAGTTTTTGAGTTCATTTTGATATTTTTTGGAGGCATAAAGTCAAAAAATGTCAGGATGATACAACTGTGCTGTATCATAATGAAAAATGAAAAGAATAAAATTCTTGAAAATAATTTTTTTAAAGGCTTATATTCAAGTCATCACAAAACGGAAGTTCTTCTCTATAAGACGACCCCTGCAGACCCTCTAAATATCAGATAAGCTTACCTTTTTATAAAAAGGCAAGTTAGTTTGGTTCATGTGGTGCAGTTCCCCAAAAGCATGATTAACCTGTTGCAGACATTTGGTCCTATTTACCTTTGTATGAATAAAGCTATCTCTAGATAAGTCCCATGACAGTAGTACGCTCCTGAAACCATTAACCCAGAGTTGCATTTAACCCACTTGTCAGACTTTAAACTGCAGTGCAGTGACATCAAGTGATATCAACACTCTCTCCCCTTTTGTCTAGTTCTGAGGTCCCTCCTCTTTTGAAAACATTGCCAGCCCTCTTAAATGTATCATATTTCTGTTGTCTGCTGTATGAATATTAGAAGGATGGTGAGAGCACTGACTGTTCCCGCTCTGGGGCTTCTAGCTTTGCTATGCTTGTTCTCCTCGGAGCCCGTGCAGGCTGGAAAGGTGCTTGTCGTGCCAGTGGATGGCAGCCACTGGTTGAGCATGAAGATCCTGGTGGAAGAGCTTTCTCGGAGGGGACATGAGATGGTAGTCCTGGTTCCTGAAACCAGTGTTCTGATTGGGAAGTCTGGTAATTACACCACTAAGTCTTTTCATGTGCCGTACACCCTTGCTGAACTGAATGCTAACCTGGACCACATAAAGAATAATGCATTTGAGAAGCCTCCACAGTTGGCTGATATCTTTTTAAATTTGGGGAACCTGATGCGGTTCACAGATATGCAGGTTAAAGCCTGTGAAAGGCTGCTGTATGACGAGTCCCTGATGAAGAGTCTAAGAGAAACAGAATTTGATGTTTTGCTCACTGATCCTTTCCTGCCTTGTGGCACCATCATTGCTGATTCCTTCTCACTTCCTGCCGTTTACTTCTTGCGAGGAATTCCCTGTCGAATTGATGAGGCAGCTGCCCAGTGTCCCTCACCTCCGTCTTTTGTCCCGCGCTTCTTCACTGGTTTCTCAGATAAGATGACTTTCCCTCAGCGAGTAAGAAACACACTTATGACAGTTTTAGAAAAGTCTCTATGCCACCAACTTTTTGGCAGCTTTGGTGAACTGGCCAGTAGATATCTGCAGAAGGACACTACATACAAAGAGCTATTAGGTAATTGTGCAGTCTGGCTTTTAAGGTATGACTTTACCTTTGAATTCCCCAAACCTCAAATGCCGAACATGGTCCATATAGGGGGCATCAACTGTGCTAAGAAGGGTCCACTGACAAAGGTAAGATGTTAATGAACACAGTCATTCTCAGTTGTTCTATGTTGTCTGGTTCACAAAATGCAAATCTTTCACATTGTCACAGACATTATATAAAATGTGTAATGCACTTACTGATAAGACTTTACAGTTAATGCAATGTGTGTGAATATATATATATATCAAGATTATTGCAATATAATGTAGATTATTGCTAACATTTTCAAGTTTTAATGAATTAACAATGATCAATAGTATATTATTAAATTAACATTAACATAGATTTAATCACTGCTGTCATACTGTAAATGTTTATTGCTAGTTACAATTTAAGCTTTAAATAAAAATACTTGTACTAATAAACCATTGGATTCCTATATCAGCACTATTGCATTTTCATGGTCAAATCAGAAAGAGGATTTGTATTCATATCAAGATTATTGCAATGTAGATTATTGCTAACATTTTCAAGTTTTAATGAATTAACAATGATCAATAGTATATTATTAAATTAACATTAACATAGATTTAATCACTGCTGTCATACTGTAAATGTTTATTGCTAGTTACAATTTAAGCTTTAAATAAAAATACTTGTACTAATAAACCATTGGATTCCTATATCAGCACTATTGCATTTTCATGGTCAAATCAGAAAGAGGATTTGTATTCTGTGCAAATTCATCAGTATGAAAGTTTTTCAGGGTTTGCAGAGGCTATTTAGACCCTAAGCAAAATATTGTTCACTGCATTTTCTGAAAACTAGAGTGGACTACTCTACTCTTACCTGCTATGTAATCCTTGCCCTAAGCCTGACAGGTTAGAGTTGTAGGTCTAAGTCAATATACCCTGGTCCTTTTGATGCCATGAATTCTTGAATTTATGTGAAGTAATACTAGAACATGATGTGTGTTCTTTGAAAGAGCATTTTTACCGTTTACTGTCCCTGGCATGTTACATCACACAATGTTCATTAAACAGCACCAGGACAACCAAGATCTAATTTAGAATACTCAAAATCTACTGGAACAAGGATAAGAACAAAATCATAAGTGCACACGTGTTGTGAATTGGGCAGACACTTTCCATGGGAAGTTCTCTTGTGTGGATAAATATGAATAATCCACAAACATTTATTAGTGATTAAGACACATATGCTTCAGTGCCATATTTGGACTGAGCACATTCTACTATCTGTAAATATTGCCACCCCTATGTACCTTGTCCTCACCCATTTTAAGATGGTACTTTAACCTGTGTGGTTACTCTGAAGTGTATTTCTTCCTTAATCTCTTTCAACTGCCACTGTCCTTCACACATCTGATAAAATGGCTAGCTTGTGGTTAGCTCTTGGGTCTTTTACTTTCTAGTTCAGCTGAAGCTGGGAAACTGTTGGTTATACCATCAGATGGCAGTCACTGGTTAGGGATGAAGCCTATTGTAGAGGAGCTGGGGAGGAGAGGAAACCAAGTGGTGGTTGTCTTCCCAGAGGCGAGTCTGAGTATGGGTCCTTCAGAGCAGACCACCACTCTGACATATCCAGTGAACTACACCAAGGCTGAATTAGAAGCGAACTTAGCAGATCAGTTAAACACAATTCTGAGCATTGATATCTCTACAGACCTGGCCAAGTTTCAGTCATTCATCATCTCACTGGATGTTTTGCCGATGTTTATTTTGAGGAACACAGAGGGTCTGCTCTTCAACAAGGACTCGATGAAGAAACTGCAAGACTACAACTTTGATGCAATTCTCACAGATCCATTTGAGCCTGTTGGAGCTATAGCTGGTGAATATCTCTCAGTTCCAGCTATTTATATGCTAATAAATCATCCTTGTGGTGTCGATACTCTTGCCAGTCAATGTCCAGCTCCAGCTTCTTATGTTCCACAAGCTTTTACTCACTTTACTGACCACATGAATCTTTGGCAAAGAAATCTGAACCTGGTAAGGACTCTGCTTCAGCCCATGGCTTGTGGACGTATGTTTGCTCGTGCAGATGAGACTGCCTCACATGTACTTCAGAGAAAAACATCAATGATGGAGATCATGAGCCGTGCAGCTCTCTGGTTTTTGCGTTTCGACTTTGCTGTGGAATTCCCACGTCCAGTGATGCCAAACATGGTCATGATTGGAGCAACAGTTAGCCAAAAACCTAAACCTCTGTCACAAGTGAGTCTTTTTTGTTCTTAATAAGCTTACTATACTAGTAAGTGCTGTATCTGTAATTTGATTAAAACAACAACAACAACTTGTTTTCTTAATCTCTGTAGTTATCCTGGAATAGAAAAGAACCAGCAATGTGTAAATTTCCAGTAAGACGGGATAAGCAAGGTTATCAAAATAATATCTGTGAAGAACACTTAAAAGACTCTTAAAGATCTACAAGTATGGCTGAGAAGCTGTTGCTGATGCCTATAGATGGCATATGCTGGACCCTACTATATTAGTAGGTCTAGTAGTATTATACTCTTACTATACTCTTACTTTTTCTGCTGCTATATCTTTATATAGCAGAAATAGTAAGAGTTGTACGATATTTCAAATTCAGCAATTTAGTCCAAAAGCACTGAGACCTTTCACTTTTGTACAATTACGCTTGTCTGTGCATTAATGGTGGGGATTTTTCAGTAAGTCTTTCTGCAGATTGCTTAGATGCGCCAGTAGGTGACACTAAAGTATATAGAAATAGCCACATTCTTTCATCTTTCATATATACAATTTTTTTATAACCAGAGAAAAGGAGATAGATACTAGATTTGATGTTAAGTATGGTATGTACACATTCTGAATCTGTGCTTTATGATAGCAGCAAGTATCTATGCATATTCATGACAACACTGAAAAGTACATTTAATTCGTTGTAGTTATAAAAACTTTTAGACCTGCTAGAGCCACTGGTAAATATCTGACTTTTTCCACCAGCATCATGAAAGTATGAAGACTCATCATGTTAGACTGTCAAACACATTTCTTTGCTTTAGACTTGGTTTCAACATATTGTTTTTCCTCCATTGTCAGTATTTTAATTATCAGCTCCTTTGTCCATTGCAACATTATCTTTACAATAGGCAATTTTTGCCAATGAATCAAGAAGGATTCAGTAGTGAACAGTAGTGATGGCAAAGTGAAGCGTTCTGAACCAGTGAAGCTTTCAACACAATTGTATTGGAAAAAGGTTCATCACTCGAAGCTTTTCAACACGGTTTATGTTGTCATAAAATCGAATAACACCTTCCAAATTTCTGTGTTCCATTACAGCCGCTGGTTTCACATCTGGTTCTACGACTGATTCTATATTTTATTTTATTTTATATAAATAATGGTCATTGTCAAAGTCATTCATTTGTGTCGGTGTAATCATTACACCGACATAGATGAATGAGTTTGACAATGACCATTACACTGTGATGGCACTAAAATAAGAAAAATAAATGAAACATAAATTCATAAATTAAATCTGCGATCTGTCTATTATAACTCTGCCTCAGTCCTGTTATTTCATTTGAGCTTAATAATTACGATATTGAAAAAAAAAATGCTAACGCATTATAAAGTGATATAATGTAAAGGAAACGGCGCTGAGGTTCGCATCGTTTGAACCAGATACTGAAGCAGTCACGTGGTTTTCAGACGAACGAAGTTTCAAACGTCATAGATCATGTGCTTTTGGCAAAACGAATCAAGCTCTGATACAGTGCTTTGGTCCAGCAGCCCCTCACTGCAGAACAACGATCCAGGGGGCGTGGTTGGATCCACATCTAAGGGGTGGAGATGGGTGGGTTTAGGGATCAGGGGGTGGAGACTGGTAGGTTTAGGTATATGTAAGGTGGGAGGAGTTGGATCTGGATCCACGCCCCCTGGATCTTGTGTTCTGCAGTGAGGACCATCTCCTTTGGTGTGAAATGTGTTTGTTTTTTGGGGGTCTTTTATACAAGCTTCGGAGCTTCTGTGTTGAGTGTAACATCACTAGGGAACAGGTCCTCATGTGTAAAAACATGTGCTCTGTAATCTTTCTCTCAGCACTTTCTTTCAATCAGACTGGAGTGCTTTTGACCGCCCCAGCCCTCGTATTTGTAAGATCATGTTTTTGTGTGACTGCCATGTGTTCCCATGTGTATAGGGAGGAGCTGTGAATAATCACTGAGATTGCACAATATGTAAAGTAATCCTACTGCCAAACCATTGTGACTTGCAGAATTGTTTTGAAAGTAGCATGCCACTATATATGTCAAAAGGTACAGATAAAAGCAATAACTTAAACCTCTAACAAACTCTGACAAAGGTAAAGATAAAACGCATGACATGACTCTTGCAGACCCTCATGACTGTGTGTCAAGGTCAAAAAGTTTAATAGAATTACTTTAGCTCAGGTTCATGTTGCACAGCTCCCCAAAATCATGATATTTATTGAAAAACCTTTTACCATTAGTATATTAATCTACACCATTGTTAATTTATTAATACTATTGTGCATTGTTAGTTCATGATACCTGATGCATTAACAAATGTTAACATATTGAGCCTTATTGTAAAGTGTTACTGACATATAATCGGGTTTGGTCCTCTTTTGTATGAACAAAGCTATCTCTAGATAACTCCTATGACAGTTCTTATATGCTTGTATGCTCTTGAAATAATTAACTCAGGGCTACATTTAACCCACTTGTCAGACTTTAAACTGCATTGCAATGATATCATGACAGAGAGTAAAAGTCTGAGTTCATTGGTTCATTTAAATCATGCCAGTGACCATTCAAAACTCACTCCCCTTTCGTCTAGTTTTGAGGCCCCACCTCTTTTGAAAACATTGCCAGCCCTCTTAAATGTATCATATTTCTGTTGTCTGCTGTATGAATATTAGAAGGATGGTGAGAGCACTGACTGTTCCCGCTCTGGGGCTTCTAGCTTTGCTATGCTTGTTCTCCTCGGAGCCCGTGCAGGCTGGAAAGGTGCTTGTCGTGCCAGTGGATGGCAGCCACTGGTTGAGCATGAAGATCCTGGTGGAAGAGCTTTCTCGGAGGGGACATGAGATGGTAGTCCTGGTTCCTGAAACCAGTGTTCTGATTGGGAAGTCTGGTAATTACACCACTAAGTCTTTTCATGTGCCGTACACCCTTGATGATCTGAAGGCCAACATGGACAACATAGAGAAGAATGCATTTGAGAAGCCTCCAAAATTGACTGATATTTTTGAGAATGTAGGGAACCTGATTCAGTTCTTGAATATGCAGGTGAAAGCCTGTGAAGGGCTGCTGTATGACGAGTCCCTGATGAAGAGTCTTAGCGAAACAGGATTTGATGTTGTGCTCACTGATCCTTTCCTGCCCTGTGGCACAATCATTGCCGATTCGTTCTTGATTCCCTCCGTTTACTTCCTGCGATTGATTCCCTGTTTGCTTGACGAGGCAGCCACCCAGTGCCCCTCACCTCCGTCTTTTGTCCCACGCTTCTTCACTGGTTTCTCGGATAAGATGACTTTCCATCAAAGAGTAGAAAACACGCTTATGACAGTTTTTGAAGCTTTCCTTTGCCGCAAACTGTTTGCTGGCACTGATGAACTGGCCAGTAGATATCTGCAGAAGGACACTACATACAAAGAGCTATTAAGTCACGGTGCAGTCTGGCTTTTTAGATACGACTTTACCTTTGAATTCCCCAAACCACAAATGCCAAACATGGTCCAAATAGGGGGCATCAACTGTGCTAAGAAGGGTCCACTGACAAAGGTAAGATGTTAATGAACACAGTCATTCTCAGTTGTTGACTGGTTGACTGAAATTTATAGCATTTATTTATGCAAATTCATCAGTTTAAAACTTTGAGCAGTTAAAGCTTTTAGGCCATGTTTGCAGTAGGCTATTTAGACATGCAGGGCTGTACAGTGCGACATAAAAAAACGTGCACGTGCTACGAAAAAACTGGTCTGTGCGATGAATACATTTACCACTGTAGCACGCCTGCAATACAGTTTTGCATGTTCATAACACAGCCGCTTAATAGTGTGAAGTGATTTCGTTGTGCTTGTTTGTGTGTGTGAGATTGATTATACTTGGTAGTTAGGGGTGTGCGATTGAAAAAAAAGTTAACGTACAGCCCTGACATGTATTTAAAATATTATCCATTATTATTATTAGAGCTGTTGGTCAAATTAGAAGCTGTTGGTCCAGGTCAAGATGACATAATCCATGTTGATGCCATGAATTTATGATGTACTCTGTACTTTGAAAGAGATGTTACATCACATGATGTTTATTAAACAGTTACAGTTACTCAGAGCTTGTCTGTACTGACATTGTTGAAGAGTGCCAACCTACACAATCATGAACAATGTTTAAATATCTAATTGCAGTCCACTATGGTCATAGTCTTTACTTCTGAAGATGTGTAAAATTCCATTAAACACTGTAACTCTTGGAGAGTCTGTTTAAGAGTTTAGATATTGTGCATGATTTTCTAAAGAAGCATTAATTTACTTGCAGGCAAATGTTTTTTTTTCCTTTCGACTTTTTTTCGAAAAAAAGGTTTTTCGACTTTTTTTTTTCCTTTCGACACTTCCTCTTAAAGATTCCTCTATAATCTTTAAGAGGAAGTGAGGTGCCCCTATGTGTTTACAGCATGAAGCACCAGGGGAAAGGCTTTTTGTAATGCTGTGCACTGTTAAGGAAAAGAGAGCTAATTATTATTTTACCAAGAGGTAGATCTATTTATATGTTAATAACTAAAACAATTGAACTCAGAGTGTTAGGTCAAAGAAAAGCATTGCTAATTGTTGCAGTATGCTGCTTTTGAACAAGTTTGAATATGCAAGTTCATGTGGGGGTATCTGTATGAGCAAAACAAAAAAAGGAAGGAAGGAAAAGGGGAGTTTACAGTGAAAGCTTGCTCCATTATGTCCTTAGAACATGATACCGGTGTTCAGTGCTGACATCTGTTCTCTGTGCAGGAGCTGGAGGATTTTGTGAATGGTTCTGGAGAGCATGGGTTTGTGGTCTTCACTCTTGGCTCCATGGTGTCACAGTTACCCGAGGCCAAAGCCAGAGAGTTCTTTGAGGCTTTCAGGCAGATACCTCAGAGGGTAAGTGAGGATTGATTTTGATGATCATGTTTGAGTAAGGGTCATGTTGGGTCAAAGTAAGGCCAGCCATATATTTTTGTGAAACAAAATAATGTTCTGCATATTAATGCATGTCATCATATGTTCAGGACTGCATGGCTGCATATTATTAACCTTCATGATTTTTTTTATTTGTAGGTGCTATGGAGGTACACTGGACCAGTCCCTGAAAATGCTCCAAAGAATGTCAAACTGATGAA